GGCAGGGAATGCTGCCACTAGGGACAGGCAGGGAATGGGCAAGGAATATTGCCACTGGGGAAAGGGAACGGGCAGGGAACAGGCAGGGAATGCTGCCACTAGGCAGGGAATGGGCAAGGAATATTGCCATTGGGGACAGGGAACGGGCAGGGAATGCTGCCACTAGAGACAGGCAGCAGGTAGGGAATGGGCAAGGAATATTGCCACTGAGGACGGGGAATGGGCAGGGAATGCTGCCACTAGAGACAAGCAGAGAGCAGGGAGCAGACAGGGAATGGGCAAGGAATATTGCCACTGAGGACAGAGAGTGGGCAGGGAATGCTGCCACTAGGGACAGGCAGGGAGCAGGCAGGGAATGGGCAGGGAATGTTGCCACTGGGGACAGGGTATGGGCCTGGAATGGGCAGGGAATGCTGCCACTAGAGACAGGCAGCAGGTAGGGAACGGGCAAGGAATATTGCCCCTGGGGATGGGGAATGGGCAGGGAATGCTGCCACTAGAGACAGGTAGGAAGCAGGTAGGGAATGGGCAAGGAATATTGCCACTGAGGACAGGGAATGGTCAGGAAACGCTGCCACTAGAGACGGGCAGGGAGCAGACAGGGAATGGGCAAGGAATATTGCCACTGGGGATGGGGAATGGGCAGGGAATGCTGCCACTAGAGACAGGCAGAGAGCAGGGAGCAGAAGGGAATGGGCAAGGAATATTGCCACTGGGGACAGGGAGTGGGAAAGGAACAGGCAGGGAGTGCAGGAGCAGGCAGGGGCAGTGGGTGTGTGAGGGGCACGCTCCGGTTGTGCGATGGGATGCAGCGGGCAAACAGAGGACACATAAGGGGCTCACGGTGGGCACACACAGGGCAAGCAATGGCCGCGCATGAGGCAAACAAGTGGGCACACAAGGTGCACACAAAAGCCGAACAGTGGGCACACACAGGGCATGTGATGCCCAAGCAAGCAGCGGGCACGCAGCGGGCACGGAGCCACGCAGGGACCAGCAGCGGGTGTGCAAGCGGCCCACGATGGGGGGGGCGAGCAAGGGGCAGGGAAGGGGCGAGCAAGGGGCAGGGAAGGGGCG